AATAAAAAATATATAAATACATAAATATAGATATATATATATATTATATACACACACAGAGAGAGAGAGAGAGAGAGAGAGAGAGAGAGAGAGAGAGAGGGAGAGACAGAGAGAGAGAGCGAGAGGGGGAGAGAGAGAGAGAGAGAGAGAGAGGGAGATAGAGAGAGAGAGAGAGAGTAATGAGAGAGAAAGAGTAAGAGTAAGATGGATATGAATTTGAATTAGTCTTTATAATAAAGTACGGTATTAACAGATATGCCATGGATCATGTACCTGCTGCCTAGGACCGGCTGAGGTGTACCCTGTGCTCTGATCATACAGAGATCTCAGAAACACCTGTGGATTCGTTGTGGATTGCCTTAGAGGGTGACCACTAGGTAAGTTCATATTCTCATACTCAGGCGGGCAAGTACTCATGTAGGTCTGGGCTATCTCATCCAGAACAAGTTGAGCTGATAAAAAAAAAATTTGAATACAAACTTAAACAACAACAAAAAATGTTAAGTAACCGTTTATAAAAAAAAAAAAATATACTTAAAAAATATAATAAAATAAGCGCTGGAAAATTGTCCCTATGTTCCACACGATGCCAATAATGGTTCAATCAACAGGTAGTACTTTTCCATTTTAACGCTTAGTAAGGGTTACTTAAAATTACCCATTATATTACTTATGTAATGAGATAGGCATCTACAAGCTCTTAACAGACAGCCAAACAAGCAATTTACCCCTCGTAAACAATATTATACTTTCTGATGGTTTATATCCTGCTCTTAACGACCAAGTGTGGAGACTCACTGAAACGGAAGACTGACTTTAACAGTTAAATGTTTCTCGCACCAGGCCAGCGGTTTCCAAAAACAGTAGATCTTGGAACCCTTCAGAATACATTTTCTTTCCTTGTCTGCTGTTTGAATGCCATATGGCACTTCACATATTTTAAATTCAATTAAACAACCCCTAAAAACAAAGCGTTTCGTTTCAATCCTTTACATGCATGATTCTTTAAAAAATATTTTGTATTAATATTCCAATGTCACACCCGCTTTTACACCACAGATTTATTACACAAACTATTTGGGAAGAACAAGAGAAAAAATTAAAGCACTTGCGTCAAGTTTCCTCTCGATAAGTGGGTCAGTTAGCCGTCCGAAGATTTTTGCCACACTCAGCCAGAAAAGAACACGAGGAGACACGAAGTTAATTTATAGGAATTTTTTAAAATGGTTCTCTAATTGTTGACATTTGTCACCGCATCCCTCAAAGAAATCCATTATAGAACAACTGATCAAACGAGATATAATAGCTTCTATGAGTCATAGTCTTTCATAACAATA